CCCCAAAACCCCAAAACCCCAAAACCCCAAAACCCCTCTGAGGAGCCACCATATGAAACTGTCTGATTTTTGATATAATTAATATGAGGATTTTAGGAAATCTGGGGAAATAGGAAAAGAATCAACCCCAAAAGTCCCATCTTGAAGGTCCAACATCATGTTGTGAATTGCTTGGATTTGGACACCGTATTTAGTAGGAAATGTCCATTGGAGTGGCTTAGGGATAGTCTCACTATACCCCCACCAATCCCAGCATCCTTGGGGATTTCCAATCAGGGAAGATTTCTTAATTTGAGGGAATAAAATGACTAGATCGTTAGCTTCAGCTAGTCCAAGATATCCCGTACCATAGATATAATCTAGACCAATATCATCAATAGTTTGTAAGCATCCGTGGAAGACGATGTGTAGTTCACATTGTTTCTCATAGCAAGCATCAGGGATATAAATATACCCTGTGTCAGCTAATGAATGCTTATAACCGATTTGATATTTTCTTTGGCTAAAGCTCTTGATATTTTCATCTTTATAGAGCTCATTTGGTAGTAATTTCTTGCCAAATACATATTCAAGAGCTTCCTTGGGTCCATCATAATTACAGTTATTAATAAAAGGTTTGCCCAAGATACCTCAAGTATTCCCATAGAAATCAGTTGGGAAAGCATGCTCAGCTGAAAGGGTGTATTCAGTGGTAATATCAGCCCCTAATTTATGAAAGAACTCTTGATTTTTCTTGACGACACCATTCCAAACCACAGAGTCTCTTTTCCCAGAATACATGTATATCTTTTTGTTCTTAAAGTTTGATAATTTGTCTATTTGCCCAAGCTGTTCAAATCCTTTAGCAGCAAGAACTATTTGGTCAGAGTAAAGTGAAACTCCTGTAGTAGTTCAATCTAGAAGTGAAATAGCTGCCCCTTTAGTTCAAAAATATGGAGGGGATGAGAAAATTCCAGCACCTTTGATTTCACTCGAATATGCCACAAGCATTTGTCCTGTCATTGCTCCTCCTGATGAGAATCCAGAAATTGAAGTATCTTTTGAAGTTTTGATATTGATAAGATTATCTGATTCAGTAGAGTTATTTGATAAAACACTTCCAATGAAGGACAATAGAAAGAGATGGAAAAGAGTACTTTTAATCATATTCAAAGTTGTCTTTACCATCTTATATTTTGATATTATAAACTTCACCTTTCAATTCCTTACATCTCAAATGGGGTTTTGGGGTTTTGGGGTTTTGGGGTTTTGGGGTTTTGGGG